AAGGGCGCTATGTTGCCTCGCGGGAAGTCGAACCAATCAATAAATCGAATAATGAAATATAAAAGACGTTCGCTATGGCAAGAAAATTATAGTCTCGTTTTGCCGGCAGCTGTCGTCTTGTGCAGACATTCGCTTGTTTATTCTTGGACTTTGGACTTTATATATTTTCAGACTTCGATATAAATACTCAAAAAATCCCACCTAATATCCCATTTATTTCCACTTCTGATGAGCATCAAAATAATAAGTCTAGTCATAAATTGAAGTGGACGGATAACAGAGAACTTCCGAAATGTAGAACCCTGGGGCGTTTTATCATGAGTCCATGGTCGAGCGAGTTCACTATAAATTGGTCAAATCTATGAAATTTTTGAGAAATGCAGTTTGAACAGCATGCGAACAAGAAGGCATGAAGCCAGTGACTCCCCAAAGTTTGAGTTAACTAAAGCACTAAATATATAAATAAAAAATAAGTATTCACATTCACTCTATTCATTATCTTTATGTGTGGTGATTTAATTGTGAGTGCTGTCAAATAAGTGGTGAAATTTATGTTCATTTCAGGTTATTGATGGGTGTTTTTAATCAATCTTCAACTCCATCGTTCTTCTTTTTTTCATCTCTTGGAGCACACGAATGGAAATTCCTATAATGTTTGAAGAAAATCGTGCGTACCTATTGGAAGGATATGAGGGAGGTAGGTAGGTGTTGGATTTTTTTCAAGTTTTGGAAGTTAAAGGTAAGTTTTTGGGAATCTTCCATTGGCAAAGTAATCCAAAGCTTGCCGAGCTATAGACGAACGAGCTTTTGGTTGTTAATTGACGGGTTTGTTGTTACAATTAATGCACCTATTATTGTTAAATATATTTCTATTCATATATAACCATTTGAATAAATGATCATATATATTTTCTCGCAATTATTGTACTTATACTTCCAATATTTTCATATGTAATACCCTATGATGGTAATACCACGACAACTGATACTATTTTGCCGGAAATATTCGGCGATTGTTTATCAAAACTTTATTGCCGTGGGCGAGAAGTTTTGGATCAATGTCATCATAAGCGAAATTAAAGCAGCAAGCTGGAGTATGTCAATCGACAAATATTTCCAGGAAAAATCAAGAGTTGTATTCGTATGAGTATTCCATGATTGAGACAATAAACGACCGGCTCGCGAGAGCTGCGCATCTATCATTCTGGCTTCCAACATAATTGACGTTTCAAACGTCCAAAATTTTATCGCTGAAAAACGAGGACGGTTGGTCACGTGTGGGTCAATTCGGCTTCTGTATTGGTAGAGCAAGTCCGATAACATATGGCAAACAAAAATATATCGCCGTAATACAACGTGAAAATAGCCGCTTCTGATTGATTCTAGAGACCATGAGTCATTTTTCCTCGAACCTAACCAGACAAACCAGGTTATATTCATGATGACGTCACGGTAACTTTTTTATGACCTCACGGTTAACTTTTGATGCTCGACAGATGTCAGTTTACCAGCAGTTTTTGTTTATTGTTCGGTTTTAGTAGAACTACTAATATATTGAATGAGAAATTCATCACCTGTAACAAAAATATGAAACTAGGTACTTACCTCTACTTCAAATTCAAGAAAATTGGAACAATTCGCTACGTACATATCAACAATAAATCAAACATTCATCTTCATGAATAGTATGATGAGATCTCTCATTAAAAAATACTTCCTATGAATCCTTAATTATCTCTTTGGGAAAAATAACTATTTTTTCTCATCAATTATATAACCTCAGATTATAACAAGAAAAAGAGCCCAATCCAGTGCCCAAGTGAACTACCTCAGTGAGCTGGTTTGGGTGGTTGGTCAACTATTACGTCATAGTTTGGAATACACATCGAGGAAAATTGACTGGTTAACTTATTGTTGACCCGGTTTGTGTGGTTAACTTCGAGGAAAAATGGCTTTAAGAGTGGAAGAGTCAATAAAATACACTCAATTTGAAACGCCACTGAACTTCATCAGCCGGGGTAATGTAGCATGCGCTGCAACGGGGTGCTATATGATTTTTAATGTATTGAATGATCTCGTTCTCTTGTCGAATGAGGGAGATGATAGTTTAGGAGAAATGTCTAGGGTGCTATAGTGCTACCACTATGATAATATCATAGCACCAAATATATTATATTCAGTGCTTCCGGCAGGAGCACATTATAATAACTTCCTAAGAAATATATATGAACCTCTTGTAGCTAGATCGAGGCATTTGTATGGTTTAGATTAGAGTAACTGGATGGTATTAGTGCCATCCAGTGACTCTAGGATGGTTTTAGCACAGTTTAAAGAATATATAGGGTGTTCCGAAATTAGTCTGCCAAATTCACCAGCGGCTTCTACGATCAAAAAGGAAGAAAAGTTCCAATGAACATGAGTCGAGAAATCGACCAAAAATAAGCTTGAAGGGGCTCCTGAATATGATATTTCTTGAATATTTCAGAAAAGCCTTGTGATAAAATGATGCAATTCGGTACAAGAACTAAACTTTCCATGCCCAATGCGGAACATAAAATAATTCCAAAGTTTAATTCAGGAGTGTATAATACAGGGTGGGACTACATTGAATATTGCTCGAACTTTTTTGTATATATGCATATTTTTCGACAATCAATTTTATCTTGGATTATGAAAATCCACACCGTTTCTCTATATCTCAGCTATCAGTCGTGCGATCTTTACCAAATTTGTATCGGTATGAATAATCATCAATATGACCAGTTCTTCAGGGACAAACATTTTAGACAGTGCCGTGCATTTTTATTGAAATGAATAGGGGTCAGTTTTTTATTGAATCATATTAGACATATGTGGATTTTCATAAGATGCCTATGAAGGGTTTCAGAAAAACAGGCACATCTAAACAGCATCTTTGCGAAAGTAATATAATTATTTACTCGGAAACGGTGAGTTCAACATAAAAAAATATAACCCGTTACTCCTTTCAAATCATGATTTTTCACCTACCGGAGCCATTAAACGTTCCAAAATTCGTAGTTGATTTGAAGTCACTATTTATGCGAGACTGAAAATGAAAAAATTGAAGCCAATCCTGTTAATTCGGAATTAGGTGATTTTTTGCTTATGGAGGTTCGAAAGCATGAGGAACAATAATATGGGGTTAGATTTCCTGTAAAAAAATGCCTAATATGATTTTATGAAAAATCGACCCATTTTTATTTCAATAAAAACGCACGGCACTGTCCAAAATAATGTGCATCTCTGTAAAACTGATCATATTGATGGTTATCCATACCACACCAAATTTGGTTGGAATCGCATGACTAATAACTGAGATATATAAATAAGGGGGGCCGTTATTTAAAGTGAGACACGCTGTCGTATATATTTATTACCTAAATATATAGGTATGGTATAGGTATTTCGTTTCGTTATAATGGGATCGAAGTCCTCCACCTGAAACGCTCTATACAAATACAAGTACAAATATAAGTATATATTATAGTTATTATTTATTTTTCTCCCTTCGAAACGCTGACGACGCAGAAATGTAAGCTAACCCAATTAGGATATGAGTTCTGCAATAAGCAAACAGTTGAACCGTTGTCTTGGCAACCCCCGGTTTTCTCCGCTTAGACAAAAGCGGCTAACTCATCTTTAATAAGGCGATCAATTATGAAGCGAAGGAAACTTCTGTGCAAGTTTCAGCTGTAATTATATTTTTCTAATTGAGTTTCCTATTTCTCTTTCAGGATTGGATTTATTCGAAGATATAGCAGGTGTATTTTTCGTCTAATTTCAACTGGTTATAGAAGTTGTTTTTATAAATTATATATATATAGGTACGATATATTTTCGATTAATCATATTTCGCAAAGTTCGCAGTTTAGTGTGTCTGATCTATCATTCGAAAAAATGTTGACCCATTTCGGTCAATTAAAGTGAGGACCCCCTCCAACCCCTCCCCTCTCCAAAACTGGGTTCACATAACTTTTGAAAAAAGAATGCAATGGAGTGTCTAAAAGGATAGGGGCCTGCCAATTTTCAGAAGATTTGATCCGTTATTTCAGTCACAATTTCAGAATATCTTTTTTCTTTACGTGTGACTGAAATTAGCAACTAGCAACTAGCTATCCTCTTCAGACTTTTCGACATCGTTTCTGAACTCAACGGGTTAAAAGCTTGAATACAGAATTGAATGGTTTCGTTTGTGACGTATGCGCAAAGAAATATTATACAGACTGCACATGTTTTATATGAATAAGAAGAAGTCTTATTATTTTGAATCACGACCCTGTATATATAGTACCTATATATGTAGTCGTTCGTTTGAGATATTCTCTCCATATGCTTATTAGCAAGAAAACTTTCAAGAATTTGATTACTTAAAGCCATACTAAAAGCGATACTTTGCATATTATCAGCAGAATTTTCATTTTATTTGGAATTCATATAGAAATTTGAAAAGCAGACACACATATATGGGCTGAAAGACCTCTCGTAAAGGTCGATGGCTACTATACGCAACTACTTGTGAAATTGCGAATATTCGGTATTTTCCAAATCGTTGGGGTTCGGAATCTTTCAAATTTCAAAAAGGTATTTCGTTAAGCATAAAATTGCGCAACTTTGCCATAATTTAACCGACCCTGTATCTCTTACGTCTTCTCTCCATCCTTCTCTTACGGTTCACGAGAAACCAATGATGAGGCTCGAATTCCAGCCACCATATTAGCAGTCAATGACGGGTAAATATCTAGACTGTCTGACGGGTTATACCGTCAGACAGTCTAGATATTTAACCAAAGATAACAGGGGACGACAAGGGAACAAGAATTCAAGGAAAGAAATTAATAAAAAATGAAGAAGATAATTAGATTCTAGGTTAACTGTCAACAAAAAAATTGGCGGTAATCAATTCTGTATTTTCAATAAATCTTCCTTGTATTGTGCATTTGTGCAGTGTTTGTTGCCATTATTTAGAAATAGTTTCAATTTAATAAGTGAGCATGGTTAGCAAACCAACTGGCAGGATGTATGTCTTCAAAAGAGGTGAGAATTTAGAAAACTCAAGAAAAGTTCTTCATGTATGGTATCTCTTTTTTGGCCTAGTACTTATGAACGATTATAAAAAGCAGGCGAATGTATAAATCATTTATGGTCATCCTAATTTCTATATTCATAGGTGGACGTAAAGAGGAAGTCCACTTGGACAAAATTACTTCTCGTATTCAAAAACTCTGCTATGGTCTCAATATGGATGTGGTAGATCCGGTAAGAATTTGATGATTTCATGAGAATAATATTATTTGACTTATGTATGTGAGAAATTGCAAGTATTTGAATATGTACTTTCAGGTATCCATTACATTGAAAGTGGTAAATGGAGTATACTCAGGAGTAACCACTACAGAACTGGATACTTTGGCAGCTGAAACAGCCATCACAAAAAGTGGAGAACATCCTGATTATGCTACTCTAGCAGCTCGCATTGCCATCTCCAATTTGCACAAAGAAACCAAGAAACAATTTACTGGTGAGTTTCAAATTTACACAAACATGATTTGAAGAAAGCATAGCTAATAAAAAAGTACTGTATTGGTGATTTCTGAAAATTGAACAGAGAGTGATGGAGATATTTCCACCTATCTGCTAAACAGATATTCTAACTCAATGTAAGTGTTTGGGATCACCTATTATAAGGTAAGGCCCTTGTCATTTCTTGCTCCCACAAGGCTCTTCAAGACTTCTGAGGGTTGCTCCTGAGGGCACAACCAAGTGATAGAACAATTTTACATTTTTTTCTTCCAGGATATTATGATGCCTATAATTAACTTACATTCCTTTAGGGATAATCTGGTGCACAATATTTCATTAGTATTACAATTGATTAATATAGTACAGGCTTGAGTACAGGTTATAGTACATTATAAATACAGGGTATCACAAAACTCATATCTCAAGATGTAATTTAATAAACATATACCCTATTGTTCTATTATTGACCATCCATATGCATATACATTTATGTATGTTTATTTGTTGTTACTTATGTATACAATACTGTGACATATTAGGACCAATAAAGATTATTATTATCATTATTATATTAGACAATCACAAACTACTATGCCACTTCCTCCTGCATCTTATAATTTGATGACATCAAAAACTACCACCTAGAAAAGTAGTCAAATAATTGAATGTTCAGGTTGAGTGTCAGAAAGTAATTGCCTATTCCACACATGGGTATAGGATCACTCTGCCTTTTGATGATGTTTATGATGTGCCACTGTTACTCAATTTTACTATCAATAAAAGCATTTATTATTATAAATTCCCACTGCCAAATTTGTTACACTGAGAGATTCCTTACTGTTAACAATAATAATATAATAATGATGAATAATAATGATTTTAAGCAGTACCTAGTCAGTAAAATTCTTGAAATTTTTGAAGATACTATACTTGATAATTCTGATGAATGCATGCATGATATTCTACTGATGTTGAATGATTATAATATCATTCCAAAAAAAACTAATGAATTCATAATAGAAAAATTATGAGTATAGGGGATATTATAGAAGAATGATGATTAATTTCACTACCTACTACCTACCTATAATTCAATTGGAGACCTATGGAAAATAAATACTCCTTTTTTACTACTTTGAATGGATGTTACCCAACATCAGCACAGATAATAGTTATTAGCCTATAGTTTTTCAACTTTTGTTCATAAATGTTTCAAAAAGCTAAGCTTTTATCTAGAACATTGTTATTTTTATTATAAATACAAAGATCCCTCGTTTTTTTCGCAAAAACATAGATACCTACATTATTCCAGTTAAGATATTACCAGAATACTAGAGGACTCAGAACTAAAACACACGATTTTTATGCAGCAACTTTGAACTCCTCAATAGACATCATCTGTATAACCGAATCATGGTTAAACTCCAATATTTTCGATGCAGAACTTTTTAATCTGAGTGATTACCAGGTTCATAGAAAAGACAGAAATCTCACCACTACTGGCAAGCTGGATGGAGGTGGATTAATTATTGCCGTCAATAATAAATACCTCTCCACTACTCATGAAAATTGGTCATGCCAAGGAGCATGCGAAGACCTGTGGGTTTCTGTGAGACTCAACAGCACTACAAATTTACTCATCTGCTGTGTTTATTCTCCACCTTATGCAAGTGTAGATAATGTATGTTCTCATTTAAATAAAGTGAATGAAGTTATTTCAAACCATCTAAATGATCTAGTTGTTGTGGTAGGTGATTATAACGTGCCCAATATCTCTTGGAATTATGAGCCTGCGGAGAAATGTTATATTGCAGCTGAAGTAAACTGCGCCTATGGAGAAAACCTTGTTGACACGTTTAATCTACTAGAGTTCAATCAGTTCAATGGTATTCATAACGCGCATGGTAAGCTTCTAGATCTAGTATTCAGTAACAGTAAAGAGATAAATGTATTGGCTTGTGATGCACCTTTTGTAACAGAAGATGCACATCACAAGTCAATAGAGTTTGATGTAACAATTGCTAACAAATCCTCCTTAAAAAAAATGATGCCTTTCAATAACGTCAAGTTCCGCTCCGCTGATTATGATATTATCAATCAGCAAATAAATAATGTCAACTGGCTCGAGAAATTCACACCTTTGTCTGTGAATGACTGTGTTACGGCTTTTTATGAGGAAATAAACCAAATAATTTCTACATATGTGAGGAAAAAATCAACCACGTATAGGTATCCTGTCTGGTACTCTACCAATACTATTTCTCTAATCAAAGAAAAACACAGAATTCGTGGAAGGTGGAAAATGTACGATAATATCTTGGACCGCACTTCTTTTTCAAATCTACGGAAAGAAGTTAAAATCTCTATAAAAATAGATTATCGGAAATATATTGAGAACACGGAAACTAATCTGAAAACTAATATTAGGTCTTTTTGGTCATACGTGGCTAACAAGTCACGGATTAAATCTACCCCGTCATTTGTCGAGTCTCACAATGGAATATTCACTGACGACAAAGATATATGTGAGGAATTCTCTCGCTACTTCTCTGAAGTGTTTGTTCCATCAGATACTCCTTCCGATATCGAGCCAATAGCTATCAGTACACACAAATTAGTAACAATCCGTAATATATCAGAAAAACAAATTATTGATGAAATTAATAATCTAGACCCTAACAAAGGTCCCGGACCAGATGGTTTACCTGCTTTATTCATGAAAAAATGTCGCGATTCCATTAGCATTCCTCTTAAAATTATTTATAATAAATCTATAATGCAAGGGATTTTTCCAGATAAATGGAAACAGGCGCAGATAATACCAATACACAAAAGTGGCAATAAAAATATTGTGTCAAATTTCAGACCTATATCCATGTTATCAATACCTGGCAAACTTTTAGAAGCTATAATAACAAAAGAAATGTTTTTTGAGTTCAAAAATATTATTAGCGAGGATCAACATGGCTTTTTCCAGGGTAGGTCTGTAGTTACAAACCTAATGCCTTTCATTCAAAATATTGCAGAAAATTTGGACAATAGAAAACAAGTAGATGTCGTGTATACCGACTTTTCTAAAGCATTCGACAAAGTTCACCATCCCACACTGCTGGTAAAGTTGGGGAATATCGGTGTGCACGGCAATCTGCTCAGATGGATAGAATCCTATATTGAAAATAGAAGCCAATGCGTTAAATTGAATAACTATTCATCAAACTACGTACAGGTGACCTCCGGTGTACCACAGGGATCACACTTGGGGCCACTTCTGTTTACTCTCTTTATAAACGATATTGGCAACTGTTTTCAGTACTCAAATTTTTCCCAGTATGCCGATGACATGAAAATCTACAAAACAATCAGTAATATAAACGACTGCATCGACCTCCAATCTGATATTCACAGATTTCAAAACTTCTGCTCTGACCATAAATTACATCTAAACACCAGAAAGTGTCACAAAATATCATTTTCCAGGTTACGAACCAATACAGAATACGTATATACTATTAATAATGACACCCTCGAAAGTGTTGATCATATCCGTGATCTTGGAGTCATCATTGATTCCAAATTGAATTTTGGGCAGCACATTGAACTAATTGCAAAAAAGTCTCTGAGAAATCTGGGCTTTATTTTACGAATATCCAGAGGCTTCAAAACCCCATCATCTATTATCACTCTCTACAACTCACTGGTAAGAAGTCATCTTGAATTTGCGAGTTTGATATGGAACCCTTCGTATCAGAAGTACATTCAACGAATTGAGAGTATCCAAAAAAAATTGATTTTTCACTTAAATTATAGATTTAACAGGCACCTACACTTCCATGGTTACGAAGCTAGTCTTCGACATTATAAAATCCTGAAACTCAGCTCACGTAGGTCTTTAAGTTATTTAATTTTTCTCCACAAGCTGATTAACTCCAAGATAGATTGTAGTTCAATTTTGGGCCAATTATGTTTAAATTCCAAAATCAGAGTCACGAGAAATAATAACCTATTTTATCACAGGATATATCACACAAATGCATGTGGAAATTCACCTATCCGTCAACTAGAAAAAATTTATGATTTATATTTTTCTCATATTGATATATTTTGTTTATCTCTCACTACAGCTAGACGATTAGCGATTGAAGTATTCACTTGAATGAAATTGAATTTATTGTTTCTTTACTAAATTTTGCATTATATAACTATAAATTTATTATAGGATAGATTAGTGACTAGTTAAGAATATAATAGCGTGTAACTAAAATGTATTACTGAGCATTTCTGTAATTGGGATGTTAACTCATCCTGTTGAAGTGCCTTGAACATAAATAAATAAATAAATAAAAAAAAGAATGATGTAATTTCATAGGAATAATCTCATAACATGATAAAATTTGAAGAACAGGAATATTTCATTTTATAATATATGAAGAAATGTTTCTTATGAAACATGATTTTTCAGGATTTTGACATGTCCGATAATATTAAATGTAGTCAAACTAATGGTATACTGGCTTATATTTCTCAAAATTTCACCTCATCTTCATATGTAGTAGTAGTATATAGATATAGGTATTTGAAGGTTCCTACCCTGCTCTTCAATTTATTTCTGTGGTAGGACATGGATTGTTGCAGGTTTAACTAATAGGTCCTCTATTTTTTTGTTTTTAACATGGATGATTTTTCTATTATAATCAGATGTTTCTTCTATACAGAGGGTGTCCTGTAATTAGCCTGCCAATTTTTACCACCGGCTTCTATGACCAAAAATAGAAAGAAAAGTTCCAATGATGAATCTCATTATTAGGGAGCTATGGTCCCCTTAAAGGGGGTTCCAAAAGATTATATTTCCTGAATATTTCCAAAACGGACATACACTGAAAAAAAATCATTCCAAAATGTCATTCAGGACTTTCAGGAGTGTATAATACAAGGTGGGACTACATTAAATATTACTCCTAACTTTTTTTTATGCATATTTTTCAACAATTCAACCTCGGATTATGAAAATCCACACCTCTATTAAAATATTTGGAAAAAAAGCAAAAAAATGGAGTGAGTTTTTTCATCATCTTCCTATTTTACGCGCCTCTATGAAATTGTTTGGTGGCAAAAATGAAGTTGATTTTTTTATATCCGCTATGATATAATACATCTGATCAATACGGAACAAGAGCATTTTTTTTGCAAAGAAATTTTCATAATCCAAGATAACATTGTCGAAAAATATGCATACGAATAAGTTCTATCAATATTCAATGTAGTTCCACCCCGTATAACACACTACCGAATGAAATTTTGAAATTATTTTATTTTCACTGCATTGGGCATGGAAAGTTTAGTTCTTGTACCGAATTACATTTTGTCACAGGGCGTTTCAGAAATAATCAAGAAATATCATCTTCAGGAGCCCCTTTAAGCTTATCTTTGGTCGAAAAAGCGCTGCTGGTGAAGTTTGGCAGGCTTATTAAGGGACACTTCATATACTAATGTCAAATTGCTTGCTGGAGTATATTAAACTAATTTGTTCATCGCCCCAATTTCGGAAACTCCCTGTAAAAATTTTTTTTGTTTTTTTAATAATGGTATTCCGTCATGTATTTTCCTTTATCATACATTTTTATTTGTACAAATTTATATTCTTGAACGAAAAGTTTGTTTCCATTCAAAATCTGAATTTTTTATCACCTTTACAGAAGTAATAGACGATCTCTACGACCCAGACAATGAGGAACAACTTCCAGCAATATCAGAAGACATCTACCAGATAATCACCCAACACACTGACCGCCTGAACGCGTGCATCATTTACGACAGAGACTTCTCTTACAGCTACTTCGGCTTCAAAATCCTGGAACAATCTTTCCTCAAAAGAATCAACGGAAAAGTAGTCGAACGCCCACAACACATGCTCATGCGTATCGCGATCAACATTCATCGAGACGACATCGACTCGGTTATAGCTACTTACAATTTATTATCCGAGAGGTATTACATGCACACGACGCATACTTTGTTCTCTGCTGCCTCGCCCAAAGCGCAACTTTGCTCGAGCTTCCTCATGATGATGCCAGATGACAGCATAGATGGCATCTTCAAGTGCGTCACCAATTGTGGTATCATCTCCAAACATGGGGGTAGCATAGGAGTCAACATACACAACATCAGAGCCAAGGGTACTTACATCGCAGGCACCAATGGGGTGTCTAACGGACTCGTTCCTATGCTCGGCGTTTTCGATCACGTAGCGCTCTTCACTATGGACGTCAGCACGAAGAGTACGGCCAAATTGTCGATTTATCTGGAGCCTTGGCATGCGGATACCTTCGAGTTCTTGAATCTGCGTAAACCCACCGGTAAAGACGAGATACGGGCGAGAGACCTCTCCTACGCCATGTGGATCCCAGATCTTTTCATGAAACGGGTGGAGGCCAATGGGATTTGGTCGCTAATGTGTCCACACCAGTGCCCAGGGCTGGCGGACAGCTGGGGCCCCGAATTCGAAACTTTGTATGAAAAATACGAGTCTGAAGGCAAATTCGTCAGACAGGTACAGGCACAGGACTTGTGGAAAGCCATGATAGTGTCGCAAAGCGAAACAGGAGGGCCTAGTATGTTGTACAAAGATGCTTGTAACCGGTTGAGCAATCAGAAGCATTGCGGAACTGTTAGAGGCGGTAGCTTCGATGCGGAAGTGGTTGCCTACACTGCTCCCGAAGAAATAGCGGTGTGCTGTCAAGCTTCCATAGCTGTCGATATGTTCGTAAGTGCTGATAGAAAGTCGTTTGACTTTGCATCATTGATGAATGTGACCAAAGTGGTCACTAAAAATTTGGATAAAATGATCGATGCAAATTACTACGTTTTACCAGCGGAAAAATCGGCGAGCCTGAAGCATCGACCTATCGGAATAGGCATTCAAGGCTTAGCAGACGCATTTATTTTATTGAAAATGCCTTTTTCAAGTGAACAAGCAGCGTTATTGAACAAACAGATCTTTGAAACCATCTATTACGGCGCTCTAGAAGCAAGCTCCGAGCTAGCTGAGGTAAACGGGCAATATCCAAGTTACACTGGCAGCCCTGTGAGTGAGGGCAAATTGCAGTTTGATATGTGGGGCATCGAACCCACAGACCTCTGGAACTGGACGCAATTACGAGAAAAAATCAAGACCAAAGGGGTTCGTAACTCCTTGCTGGTAGCGCAACTTTCCACCACAACTGCCTCCCAGATTTTGGGGGATAGCGACTCAGTGGAGCCCTACAGGGCCTACGTTACCTCCATGAAGGTTTCCTCAGGGGAATTCCAAGTTGTGAATCATCACTTGCTCAGAGATTTGACCGATAGGGGTTTGTGGGGCGAATCAATGAGAAATGAAATCATTGCCAACCAGGGATCCATTCAGAATATATCTGAGGTACCGGATGATCTTAAAGAAATCTACAAAACCTCTTGGGAGATTTCACAGAAGGTTATTCTCAACATGGCTGCGGATAGAGCACCATTCATTGATCAAAGCCAGAACTTGAATATCCATATTGAGAGGCCAAGTTATGGGGCGTTATCTTCTATGCATTTCTATGGGTGGAAAAAAGGTTTGAAAACTGGAATGGGTCAATTGAGGGACAAGCCCGTTTTGAAGACTGTCAATATGTTGGCTGGAAAAGTTCAATCTGTTCTCCAAATACAGAAACATGGGGATTCTGAAGAAATTGACGAATTAGAGGAAATTAGGAAAAAGCAAGAGGAAGAAGAAGATAAAAATATGGCTAGTTTGGTTTGTTCATTAAAAAATCCAGAAGCATGTGAAATGTGTGGCTCTTAGTTCTTTGAGGTAACTACATAGGTTTAAGGTTGTTGAAAATCTCATCCATCAACTTGAAAATGAGAGGACAATAATGTCTCAAATTTTTTGAATGTTTCATTCAATAAGGAAGTTGTTTTTATTTTTCATCATTTCAAATTATATTCGTATTTTTCATTAGATTATACATATTGAACCTAAGAAAGAATAAATGTGATAGAAAACTTGTTTATAACAATTATACTGGAAAACATATACCTGTGCCTGTAATACTATGTATGTGTGTGCATGTTTCCAGTGGTCTACACAATAATCAATTCAGGCAAAACCAAAAATAGAAATAATATGAAATAAATTAGAGATTATCCAAAATTAACTCATTGTGGATTATCCAGTAATATCCAGCACTTGCTTCTCCAATATTTTATCAGTTTGAACATTTGATTTAAACTGAATCATTGAAAGTGAAGCCAAGACTGATAGCTTTTAGGAATGTTCTTTTGATTATCAAATTCTATTCAATAGTTAGGTAATTTCTAAAAATTTCCTCAATTTATTAATTCTCAAAGGAACATCTAGCTTATAGTTGTCTTCTTTTTTAAAATAGAATTAAAAAACCCAACAAACTCTTTTTGGTATTTTGATTTTGATTCTCTTTTCCAGGGATATTTTCCATTTTTATATGTATATTAGTTTCTCTGATCAAATTTCATTTAACTACTAAGTATAAAGATTAGTATTTGAGACTATTGGAAAAAAATTTGAATAGATTCATACCAAGTTCCTATAGCTGTACCCTCCTAAATGTTGATAGTGATATTCTTTCATTCTGACCTTTCACTTGAACTGAACTGATGAATCAGTCAATGTGGAGTCTATGGAATTGAAGTCTTTGGAAAGAAGACAGGCAGCATGTTAATTGATTAGGTTCAGTTCTAGTGAAATATTTCATTTAGTTCAGAATATCACTACTATCTGAAATTCATTTTCCTACAAAATTCAGTATGTTATGCAGAATGTAATTGATCCATTGTTGTTCAATCAGGGGAGCATTGTTTTCTCAAATCCTCTGTAACTTCAAACATTGGACCATGCCCAGGCACTATGAAGTCAGCCATTTTAAGTATCCTCTGCCGATTCTCCTTTTGCAAAACTTCTGAATCAGACCCTGCACTTTTCCATATTGATTCATCAAATAAGTCTTCAGATTTTTCAAATAAGTCCCCAGTTACTGCTATAATACCATCTTCAGTGTCTACTATCACTGAAACATCCTGCAAAGTGTGTCCTGGAGTAGGAATCACTTTAATTCTATCATTTATTATATATTCTTCTCCCTGAAGAAAACTTGGCTCTGAAAAATATTTGTCTTTGTGGGAAATGCTGAAGCCAACTATATGAATGGCTTTTTTAAATAAATGATTGCAACCAGTGTGGTCAGAATGTCCATGGGTACAAATTACATATTGGATATCCTCACAGCTGATATCTTCATTTTTTAGGGCTTCCAATAGTTTTTCCTCATCCCAAGCAGTCAGTGTATCAATGATAATATTTGCAAACCCTTTGACTAGGACACATGAACAATTTGCATAGTAATCTCCATTTTCGAATTTTGAGTATCCATCGAACAATACTTTCAGGCAGAGATTTGTATTTTCCATAATGAAAACTACTTTTCAGTGTTTTCATTCAAAATTTTAAAGTACAGAGGTTGAACCATTAACTATTCTTATTTGATTAAATTCAGTTACTCTTCTTCGGATAGCGACTGCCCAGCAGAACTCGGAGTAAGAAAGGCGCATAGAAATGAGAGAACCGAGCCCTGAATGTCGAAAAAGAAGAGGGAGCATGTAACCAAAAAAAGAGTAGAAGACGAAAAGTTGTTCAAAGAGCGCGGAAATCAAAGAAAATGATGTTGAAATAACCTCAAAGTATAAGAAGCCAAGTGAACCGATTTTAATTTTTTATTCATTAATTTTATTTCAACAAAATGAGCAACAAAACACCTACGAAACTCTATGTTATCAAGCGAGGTATGTCTTTTTCTTTATTCATCAATATTTCACTCATGTTATCGTAATTTTAGATGGAAGGAAACAAGAAGTTCATATGGATAAAATCACTTCTAGAATTCGAAAGCTAAGCTATCGCCTTAATATGGATTTTGTGGATCCTGTAAGTATTCCAAGAATGTAGCCAAGTTCTCTGAAGCTCATATCATTCATTTACAGATAACCATCACTTTGAAAGTGATCAGTGGATTATATCCTGGTGTTACCACAGTAGAACTTGATACATTGGCTGCTGAGACTGCTGCCATGAAGACAGTGGATCACCCAGATTATGCTACACTAGCTGCCAGAATCACAGTTTCAAATTTACACAAGGAAACTCAAAAACAGTTTAGTGGTAAGTTTGATTATCCCCATTGTGCACAATTCAAAAGTAGATCCATGCCATAGCTTATGAAAAAACTGATTCTGGTGCATACTAGTCAAAAAAGATAATTAATTTTTCCCTACTCTTTCTTAATTTCACCATAATACTATACTCTATACTCTATTTATATCATATCATGAACAATACCTATAATAGAAACAATCATTATTATTAGTGAATTGACTGGTAGATCCAGGGGATGAAGAATCAGCTGTATTATTGTTGAGATCCATGTAAGACATTCCTCATCAGTATAAATGGTACAAAATGATTGAGAATATTGTTTCATTACCAATTTTGCTTAACTGAAGAGTTTTACTGTTGAAGTAGTTAAATAATTCCATGTTTCTACCTCTAAAGTCATATAATTATGTATTGTGTGGTATTATATTGCTGGGTTTATAGATTCAATTAAACTAAGAATTAAACTAACAACTATGAACTAAAAAAGTTGAATACAAGGAAACATTTATGAGGGTTTATACATTTACATCTGTCATTCAAATAGAGAATTAAGAACTACAAAGTTGGCCAACTTTCAACTTGAAAATTAACAATTATGAAATACTGGAGACAGGACATGCATATTGGATTTGTTATTGTTCAAGTTGAGTTTGGGTGATATCAAATTGGAATATTTTTTATGGATTCATGAATAGTGGAGACCAATATCTCTTTTTTACATCATTTTAATCTTTAATCAAAAGACATCTCACATTTAATTCTTAATTAATGTCAAATATGTATAAACACTCTCATGATTATTAATTGTTGATTGTTAATTGATAATTCCTAATTGTTATTGTAATTGAATCTATAAACCCAGCATATGTCATTGTTAATATTCAAGTAGATAATTGAAAATTAAATTTTCAAAAAAAATATACAACAAAATTATTCCCATTTACACCTGCAGAGCCCTTTCACCTTGAATAAATTTCAGATACATTAATTTTGTAGTGAAACCAGAAGACTTGTCCTCTCAGAAAATAAAAATTGATATATTTTGGATACTTTATATATTACTTATTTCCTTGAAAATCATTGAGGGTAAATTGTTGGTATCAAAAAAATGTATAGCTCAAATGGATCTTTATTCCTTATTGAAATAATTGAATAAAATTTTGAATATGGTGGGAGACAGAGACAAGAATGTTGATTTTTTCATGTCAAATATACTGGTGACAGATTTGAATATCAATCAACTTCATCATTCATAGGAAAAAACATTTGTTTGACAAAAAACAACAAAATACACACACACATATGCAGTGTGTCCCGTGACTTGATCCCCATAGCTTATGGGGGCATTTTCCTTGAACAATTTCATGTCAAAATTCCTCATACATGTTTGTCCAAAACTCAACAATTAAATAACAACTTTGCCTACTGGTGGATTGAAAGATATGGTCCATTTCTTTGGCCACCAAGATCTCCTGACCTAATGCCTCTCGACTATTATCTCATGGAACACATGGAAAGTCTAGTGTATTCAAATTTACCACAAACGAGAAATGAGCTGAATCAAAATATTATTACTACATCTGCATCCATACAAGTCGACCCAGATACTGGCTAAAATAAATGATTGACATTCAAGAAGAAATCCTTTGTCTTAAGTTCATTCAATAATAAGTACTCCCATTGGTTTTTGGAAAATGTAAAATTCACATCTGGCATAATAATGATCATTGATATTTTGTATGTAGCAATCTTTTCAACAAAACATCTCTGGCAAACTTTGGTTTGCAATTTGTCTTTCCATGTACTGGGTCTTCAAGTATATTTCAAACCCCCACTTTATTATGTATTGTTATTTTTTTTTTAAATGTGGAGGGGGAAAAGTATCTTAGAGCTAAGTGGTGTCCACTTTTACGAAAAACCAAGGCCTACTAGATCACATTCATCTGAAGGTGAAAAATGTAGAATCCACAAAAAAATTTGCGTGCGCCACTGGAATCGACGTCCCCTGTACATGTACCAAGTGTCATGAAAAAACATTCAACATTAACAATTCTAGAAATTTTTTGTCAGAACTAATCATTATTGGCTGATGATGAATAGAAAAAAATCTCAATTTTTTTCACCCTATATCTCTGTCATCATTTCAGCTAGTCCCCAAGTGTGATCGTTGAAATCAGCTTTTCAGGGAGAATCGGAAAATGCAATAAAATAAAATGTATAAATGTATTTTTCAATATGTTCAACTGTTTTTCTGTTGGCATATATAAACTCTACAGAAATAAATATGGAGGAATGGTCCTTGAAAATGAAAACAATAAATAAAAAAGTTAAGTGGGAGTTCTAAATATAAGTGAATTCCTCAAGTACAAGGTACTTGAGACATTGAAATTTTTAATCCAATATTCTTACATATTTATCAGGATTCAGTGATGTACAAATCACCCCAAAATATTAATTCGTATTTACGAAAATCTCGTACCATTTTTATGTTCTCATTGAATCAAGAAAATCTTTGTCAGTGACATTATATCTTTTTTATAGACACTTTAGTAGACAGGAAGAGTACCATAACATAGTTTTTTTCTTATAGAGGTAATTGACGCTTTGTACAACATGATCGACAAACGTACCAACAAAAAAACGCCAATGATCTCGGAGTACCACCATTCGATCATCATGAAAAACGCCGATCGCTTAAACTCTTGCATCATTTATGACAGAGACTACTCCTACTCCTATTTCGGTCTGAAAACCCTTGAACGATCCTACTTGCTGAAAATAAACGGTAAAATAGTGGAGCGTCCTCAGCACATGCTGATGAGAGTGGCCGTAGGCATTCACGGAGAAGATATTGACCGTGCTATACAAACTTACAATCTCCTATCCGAGAAATACTTCACTCATGCCAGTCCCACACTGTTTTCCGCTGCCACACCTAAACCTCAGTTGTCCTCTTGTTTCCTGCTCATGATGCCAGAAGACACCATAGAAGGTGTCTTCACTTGCCTCGAACGCTGCGCGTTCATCTCAAAATCTGCCGGTGGTATCGGAATAAATGTCCACAATATCCGAGCTAAAGGAACTAGAATCGGCGAAGATATGGAGTCCAAGGGACTTGTGCCTCTCCTAAGAGTATTCAACAACACCGCGAGATATGTAGATCAAGGAGGCAATAAGAGACCAGGGGCTTTTGCTATCTACTTGGAACCATGGCATGCTGACGTTCTAGATTTCCTGAATCTGAAGAAAAACACCGGGAAAACGGAGCTGCGAGCTAGGGAGTTATTCTACGCGATGTGGATCCCGGATTTGTTCATGAAAAGAGTAGAAGCCAACGGAACGTGGTCTCTAATGTGCCCACACAAGTCACCGGGTCTCTCGGACTGTTGGGGGGAAGAGTTCGAACAGCTCTACGAGAAATACGAGAAAGAAGGTAGGTACGTTCGTCAACTGCCGGCTCAAGAAGTTTGGAAGGCTATAACGGTGTCTCAGGTAGAAACCGGAACGCCTTACATGTTGTACAAAGATGCCTGCAACAGGAAAAGCAACCAGCAGAACCTCGGTACCATCAAGAGCAGCAACCTCTGCACTGAAATCGTCGAGTACACATCGCCTGACGAGGTAGCCGTTTGTAACTTGGCCTCAATCGCGGTCAATATGTTCGTAAACCCCGACAAGAAAACCTACAATTTCCAGAAGCTCAGAGAAACCACCAAAGTAGTCACAGCCAACCTGGACAAAATAATAGACGTGAACTACTACCCTATTCCAGAAGCTAAAACCTCGAATATGCGACACCGTCCGATCGGTATTGGAGTCCAAGGCTTGGCAGACGCTTTCATACTTATGCGCATGCCTTTCGACAGCGAGAAAGCCTCGCTGCTCAACAAACAGATCTTCGAGACCATTTACTATGCAGCTCTGGAAGCTAGCTGCGAATTGGCCGAAAAGAAAGGGACCTACTCCACTTACGAAGGAAGTCCCGTAAGCAAAGGGATTCTGCAATACGATATGTGGAACGTCACTCCTACAGATCTCTGGGATTGGGCTGCTCTCAAAGCGAAAATAGCCAAGCATGGGGTGAGAAACTCGTTGCTTTTGGCTCCCATGCCGACAGCTTCTACCGCTCAGATATTGGGCAACAATGAGTCCATCGAACCTTATACCTCAAATATCTACACCAGAAGAGTTCTATCTGGGGAATTCCAAGTGGTAAACCAGCACTTGATCAACGATTTGACAGACATAGGACTGTGGGACGACACCATGAAGAATCAGATCATCGCCAATTTAGGTTCGATCCAGAACATTCCTGGCATACCGGACGATCTCAAGGCCATGTACAAGACGGTGTGGGAGATATCTCAGAAAGTTATCTTGAATATGGCCGCCGACAGGGGCGCTTTCATCGATCAAAGCCAGAGCTTGAACATCCATATCGAGAGGCCCAGCTATGGAGCGTTGACCTCGATGCATTTCTACGGGTGGAAAAAGGGTCTGAAAACGGGGATGTATTATTTGAGGACCAAGGCTGCGGCGAAGCCCATCCAGTTTACGGTTGACAAGAGTAAGCTCATTGTTAAGGAGCAGGGGGCTGAGAATGAGGTTCACGCGGCTGAGAATGGGGTTGGTGTTGCCGAAAATGGGGTTAATGTTGCTGAGAATGGGGTTAGTGTTACTGAGAACGGGCATGCACAGGGTGAGTCGAAGTTTATTCAGAATGGGCACTGAGAAACGTTTGAGCTTAGGACATTTTGTGATGTGATATTTGTTTTCGAATCTGAGACTGATTGCCTCATAGTTCGAGAAATATTGTAATTGGATTAGGTTTTCTTATACCTTACACCTAAAGGTGGATTCATGCAAGCAAAATATAAAACTTAAATGAATTTCAAACTAAAACCAATGATATAAACCATGAAATGTAATGTGGGTCTACATGCAAGGAACTAAGAAATTTTAATTAAAACTGAGAAAGATAGCCAAAATTTAACTAAGACATTAATTTCTTCCACAATTCACGACAGCGCATGCGTCAAATAACAACTAGCCGCGCTGGAAAAAGATTAAACAGCTGATAAAAGGTTATTAACTGATGCTGCATGAACACCCATATATTCTCAATTTAAAATCCATTTGAATCTTAAATTCATTATAATTTAGTTGATGTTGCATGAATCCACCTTTTAGTGCTTACACATCAAATATTTTCCGTAATCGTAGTAATTTCAATAATGCAAAATTTTTGGAATGAATGTTTGTATCGATATATCTCATTTTCAACATGAATCATTATACTATAAATATTGACAATTTCACAATATAAAAGTGTATTTCACATTGAGTGCCGATAATTCGTTATTTTTTAACGAATCTGGCGATTTCAGAACCTTTTTTCTTTTTATATTTCTTCATTGTAGTAGTCTAGAAGTACTACTGCAACGATTAGATTGCCAATGGACTTTAAGTTTTGCCAGAGATTATCTGGTTTTGCACTTAAGTTGTGAAAACTTGGTATAAGTTAGGAAGTGCCTTAATCGATAGACGTATTTTTTTTTTTCAAATGCCAAATATGCTTTAGTCATAGTATGCATTTGAAAAGACGAAACTTGAATTAATGCATACTGATTGAGCTTTCACAGTACTTCTTCTCTTAGACTTCTTGATTTTCTGATTCCTTGTGATATCAATTTCACCAGATCTGGTATTGTTGTTACTTTCTTGGGTATTTGTGGTATTTTATTGTTAAAGCCCATTATTATTAGGAAAAAGATGATGATCTGAGTACTATATTAAAATCGAAGTTTCTGAAAATCGGTCTAGTCGTTATAAAATAAGAAATCGTTGCCACTCAAAGTGAAACACACTGAAGTCTCATTTCAGCTCAAATACAGCAAAAGTGATATCAATAGAAAATTTGAATATTATTTATCACTAGGTAGGTACTTATATTATTATTTTGATTATTGGAATTATATTATTTTTATGGTATCATTTCATCATTAGCAATAGTTTGTATGAATTCGTTGTCCCAGTTTTTGTTCTTAATTTTACTCAAAAAGTTTGTATTTTGAATCATTTTATGAGTTTCTAGTGGCATTTACAGAGCTTTCCTCTCTTGTACTTTATTTTAGACTTAGTGATAAGGTTTATACATTTTATTTTTTCCAAATATAATCTTGAAAAAAATTTACGGATATTTGAGGTGATTTTTAATTAAGATTTCAGTGATTTCAAAACTTCATATTTTGGTTCATCTTCAATCAATTATAATTGGAAAATACCTACCTACTTTTGTTTTCTTCTAATAATCTGTCAATGTTATAGGTATGAATCACAACCCCTTTATATGAAAAATTCTCGATAAACAGCTATGTCAGCGAAATTTAGTAGATAACTAAACAAACACGTAGATAAAACTGAATTACTAATCTAATCTAAGAATCAGGTTAATACGGTAACATATGGCGACCGAACATAACGGCGCCTATTGCAATAATAATTAACGACTACCTACACCAAATTACCGCTCATAGGGCAACAACACCAGTCCACGTGACGTGTGTCCGAGAAAATTCAAATTTAAAAGCCCCATTCAACGACCAACCGTCAAATTATGATCCCGACAGATATCGCTATCTGTCGGACAAACAAAGCGCCACAAGAAGAATAGCACCTGTTTTCACCGCGAGACAGGTGAGCAGCGGCGGGGTTACCTGCGTGTCACGTGACTTTGACTTTTCCCCACGTAGAAAAAAAACGAACACAACCGCGCCTCGAGTCCTCCCTCATCTACGTTGGCCGCGGCAACGAATCGTTCGTCTTTTGTTTGGCGGGCAAAGGAACTCTCTGAATGCACCTCTATGTGATTGCAGCCAGCGGTTTACCTGAGTGAAACAGTGTCCGAATCAAAGTGCGCTAGATAGTCGATTCGATCGTAACTTGTTTTAGAGAATGCGAGTATTTCGAAATAGCGTTGCCAAGGTGGGAGCTAGTGCGTTCGTCTAAACTTTTCGTTGTTGGTTGCACGGTAAATGTGATTGATCGAGAACGACCTACTATCAATAAAGGGTTTGTTGCATTCCGCGTACGTTTCTGCGATATGAGGTGGGCTTGAGGGGGTTTTAAAATGTGTGTGAATGCAGTGCGGACGTTGTTTATCGTATGTTCCATCCTGCTAGTGCCTTCGAAACCAGTTATTTCACAAGACACATCCAACGATGGTGCAAGGACAGAGAAGTCTCCAACGGAGCTCTCAGGGGGCATGATAGTGAACAAATTAGTTTTATCAAAAAACGAGAGTCCTTTCTGGCTGAGGAATGATATCGTTGTCGAGAGAAAAGCGGAATTGGTGATAGAGCCAGGGGTGACCGTCAGAGTTGAGCCCCAGGTTGGAATAACCGTCAGAGGAGTTTTCACTGCAGAGGTAAGGAAAATAAACGTAGCCAACTCGATCGAATTGAAAATGTTCATTGATGCTGTTTGTTTACTAACTTTCACTATGGTGGCATACCTGCGTCATCTCAGAACCAGTATTTTTTCGTACAGAGCATTGTAACCGTTTAACCTTTCAATAAATAACATCTGATTCATTGATTTGAATATATTCATTAATTCTTCATTGGTGAATTCCATCGACAGCACATTGGCAACCTGAAAACTTGACATGGTGTACCACAAGACCAAGTGGAGAGGCCATTTTCATAATCGAATGTATACGGCGATCGGAGGAAATTTTTCTATACACAGTTACAAAATTGATCAGTATTGGAAACAGTTCAACCAGGAGTTAGATGTACCGAATCGAAGCAATGTTTGTATGATTACCTATCATATGAGATTCGTTTTATCTCTCTTCATCATCCTGTGATAATCTATATCCTAGGTATACCCTATTATTGGGATTAAGTGTGAAAACTGGTACTCTTTCATCTGTCAACTGATTCACAATCTTTGGCGCTCATTCCGTGTTGAAATGCTGTGCAGACAAGTTTCATATCTTTCATTGAACATTTAAACTTCAGACGGACTTCCAGAGATGAGTTGGGTTTGATCAAGAGACTGACGATACATTGGTGTATGTGGAAACAAAAACAGGATTGATAGCATCATGGTTATGGTGAATTGATCTTAGATAGTCGTAAGGATGAAACAACTCACTTCATCAAAAAGTGTGTTATGGTATTTTCGACTTTATGAACATAGTGGTGGGTCAAAGTAAGCTTTATCCCGAGCTCTGTTTATACCGATTCCTAGTTGCTTCACTTGGCCCAGCATGTCAAATTCATGTCCATTCATGGTCTCTGTCCAATCAGGAATTAGGAGGAACAATTCAAAACAAACAGAGTGGTTTCCAGGATTATTAAAGATTCGATCTATCGCTCTTCAAAAGTAGTGACAGCATGTGACAACAAGGGTTTTTTATTCTCTTCTGAATCCCTATTCTTATGATTAGGCTCATTTAAATCACTAGAGAGCATCAGTATCAAATTAGATTCAATAGATTTTTTATTGTACACCAAAATCCCTGAAGGAGTTTTCATCCGGTGCCGTAATGTATGCGCTGCCTGGCAATCTAGATCCCGTTTCGAGTTGAAGTTTGATGCAGACATGTCTTCGTCCAACATTGGAACTTTCAACTAGAGTTCAGTTGTTTTGACCTTCGTGTTGACGACACCATGGCTTTGAGAGTAAAAAATGCTTGTGTCCATCAAAGGAAACATGATCACAGTAGATTGGTGTTGAACTTCGAAAGATCGAGTTCTTATTCTTCATTGTTGAATTGTTAATTATAGTGGGTCCATATGTAGATATTTTAGCCATCAGTCAATTTTATATTGAGTTCCTAATCAATGTAAAATTAAACCTGGCAAGAATTGGGACACCACCAGCTTAATTACCCTTGTGAACATACGTCTTAGGATCATACTACTTTCTTCATCCACGACTGTTGTATAGAATATTCATAATACTTACATTCTTACTCAATCATAACGGTAACAATTTTTCACACCAGTGAAAAATAGCATTGAATAATCATAATTAACTGGTATAGAGTTCCTATAAGGTATGCTATAAGACCAGTGAATAATGGTTATTCACCGCTATCATTCAGTGGTGTGAGAAATGGCTATCGTTTTGCTTGAGAGTACAGCAGTCGTGGACAAATAATAATGAATATAACAGGTATCTTCAATTTTCAGTTTTCTAAATGTTGAAAGAGTTATGATAAAACAGTTGTTGAACATAAATGGATATATGACAATAGTAGTCATGGACAAAGTATAGTATTCTACTCGATTTCGATATAATGAACATATTATTTATTATTGTTGGGTGTTGGCGTCATATTTCTATCAATAGATATAGACTGATATGCTATCTACCTCATTTGTGTAATTACTGCAGTAATTATAATTTTATCTATTACTAATTACCAATTTGTATACCTCTCAGTAGTCTCAGTATAACTACTATTCTTCCAAATAACCATGCGTACAGAATGGCACGGTTTTAATGGTCATTATGAAAATTTTAATATTTGCTTTCACTTTTGATTTCATTGTTATACAATTAATTATAATCGATTTCACATTGTGAAATGATTTTATAGTCATGATGGTATCCCGATCATGTACGTCCAAATCTAAAGTTCACCTTTCAAATGATAATATTTTTTGAAGGGTTACATTTTTAAGATATACCTAACGATTTTTCTTTCTGATAAATCTAGTAAACAACGTTATAGTGAACAGACAATTATTGTTTATCTATTCATTCACTACTGTTGATGTTATTATTTCGGAGACCTACTGATCTATTTCCAACTTATTTGATTTGTCACACAGAGATGTATGGGGTCGATATACCTTTTTCCACCTGTGGCTCATTTTTATACCTGAGTCGTCAAGAAATTCTTCTACCTGCATCTCTATCCCATCTGTTGTACAAGCACTTTGCACTTCCTGTTAATCGAAACTGATTAATTAACAAGATGATTAATATTACATAGTAAAATCCTCGACGAAACCCAAAGTTATTTTCCGGAATGGAAAGTTCTTTTATCATTTTATTATTTTTATTTGGTAGTAATATTAGAAACTGATGGAAACGTACGAGGAAACGTACCTACTCCTTTTTTTTTATCAAAATTGTCGTGATAGGTATCGGTGGATTGATTTCCAACTTCCGAATCGCACTGTATATTGCTCAATCCAATTTTCTCGAATTTCTGTGAACGATACGATAGTCTGTGCAGCTTTCAAGAAAAACACGTCATACTTGATGATTATTATGAATCGTTATCCAATGAATCATCGCAATATGTAGGTGTGAAATGCACAGTCATTTGAAGGTAAATTTATCTCCGATATTATGGCAACAATGTCCTTTCTCGGCAGTTCAATAACATTTAGTTCTAGATCTAGAATCTAAATGATAACATGATTGAACTGGAATGAGAACTAAGCATTTTAGGACGTTGAATTGAGTTGAGTTAATTTCAAATCAAATTTGAATGGTTATCTCCTGGAATTACTGTTTTTTTTTTTAATTTTTTCCACCTAGGTAAGAGTGATCAAATACCAAAATATTAAAGACCATTCGACTGATTTTATTCTCTAGCTATACAGGGTGTCCGGAAAGGTCATGCCGTAAATGATACGGCTGACAGAGTGATCCAAAATAATGTTAGTACTTCTCTCTTTCTTTGCTATTCTTTTTTCTTTCTAGTCAGTAGTTGTAAGCTTAGTTATAGGATTAGTTTTAGGTACGGTTTGAGTGGAAGAACAGTTTCTTCCTACCTGGTAGAGAGAAAACTGAACTCTCACCTTTTATTTGCCTTTTACAAAATACTTACTCATGTACTCTCATGTATTGGTGAATAATAAACGTATTATTATTATTATTATTATATAAAAAATATGTCTATCGTGCTTCGTTACGGAGTTTTTGACCTCGAAAGATAGGATGAAAAAAAATGAATTTCAAGTATAACTCTCAAACGGTTTCCATGGTAAAGCATATTTGATAGAGGTGACAAATTCGACATTTTGCTTTCACCGTTTGATCCCTTCATCTTTTTTCTAAAAAAATTGTATACTTCATTTCAATCGATATCTTGTACGAATTTAGAGAAAATCGCATTTTGAAACATACATCCCAACCGTTTCAAAGGTGATAAAATTCCATTTATTATCAAATGATTGGTATAGGACTAATTGGCAACTGCTCAATTATGGATTTAATATCATTAATGGGACTTTAAATGTAAATGAATATTCAACTTTTTTGCAAGAACATCCAGATCCGTTGTTAGAAGACGTTCTATTGAATATTCGAGGTGATATGTGGATGATGCGCCTCCTCATTTCGACAAAGCTGTAAATAGGAGATCATTTACCCATGGTCCTTTTCCATGGCCATCTCGATCACCTGATATATATCAACAACATTGTCCTAGCGACTATTCATATACCACATGTTCTTTATTAAATATAAATAAATATGAGTAAGGTTGCCACATGTATCACTATTTTGATTAGTTCGAATATAATTTTGGGGAGTTCATGGCTTTCTAGATAGAAAATTGAATGAGTGTTTTCCAGATGAAGTATCATTAGATTACTATGATTTCAAAAATATGAAAATTTTATAATCAAAAGTTGAGCCATTTCCGAACAAAAAAAGGAAGTTGATTTGTATTCCAATAATTTCAAAAAGTGTCTAGTAAGCATACTAAATGTTCTAAGTTTTAGAAATATAGGTATACCGAGGGGTGTACCGTATCAGTCACATGATATATCAGAAAGAAACAAGGCAAATTCAAATACACCCCAACTTTATCACAACGATATTAAAGAAATCTACAGATTCTCAGATCGAAATTGATATTCTCCGGCGAATGATTAGGTAACTATATTCTATTTTCTATTTTTATGAGCCGAATCATTATCCTGATTTTTTTATAAAATTCGATACGCCTGAGGTTAACCAGCGGAAATTATCAATGAGTGGTCTGTGTAAAGTTCAATTATAATTGCGTTCATTCATTTTACGTTCGAATCTCTAATAGGGTTAATTGGATTAGTATATGAATCACTGAATCAGTTGTTTGTATAATCCAAATTCGGTAATTAGACGATATTCATGAATGAAAGTAGTGTACATGACAGAACAGACAGTTTTTGAAATTTCATGGAAACGCTCATCAACTGGCTTTCAATAAACCATTACCATATCACCGCCGGCGACAATAGGTCGCGTGCACGGCACGATGACCGACCCTGGAGGCAAAATATTGAAACACAACCTCACTCTTCTGTGAATTATTGAAACACAACCTCACTTTTTATTTGTTTACAGAGGAATCAAAAGGTTGAAATTATAGGCATTCCAGAACACGTGACTTTTGACATATTTCTAATG